CTAATTTCTCCTAGATATTTATTTTGTTGTAATACATTGGCAAACATTTAACACTTAACGACATTAGCAAAATAATAGGCGTTTGCCATGTTTTTTGCCCACCCCGAGGGGGGTAGCGCTGGGACACAATAACCTCGACAGTAAGCCACAACAGACTATGTTAAATTCCATTATCTGTGATCATGTCTGATGTTTGGGTCTTTCAGCTGTACATTCATATATCCCCAAAATATATTATCCAATTTATCATTATTAATGGCATTAAACTATTGCTGGGCTATATCTATATAAGTTTGATCTAACGTTGTATGAAAGATGCACTAATACGGTTAATGCATAAACTTGTTTTTTATAGCCATTGGCTATTACGTCAGTTAAACAATTACTACTTGTATTGTTTAATTAAATCTAGTTATTTAATAATGCTTTATTAAATTATACTACATAATATTAAACTATAATAATTGGAGTGCCAATAATTATAAATTTCATATCCTAAATATCCATATCCATATTCATAAAAGTCCGTTGATTGGAATTCCCAGCGCCGACTAATTTTTATACAAAATCTGAGCAGCAGTGGGATTTGGTGGCAGCGGTGGGATTTGGTGGCAGCGGTGGAATTTGGTGGCAGCGGTGGAATTTGGTGGCAGCGGTGGGATTTGGTGGCAGCGGTTTTTAGTGGCAACAGCATGTATTTATTTTAATATTATAGTGTTGTTTAGGTTTAATAAATTTGATAGTTTTTGTTATAAATTGATTAAAAAATTAATTTTATATTGTGATTATATTTTAATAAATAATATTAATATCAGTTATACATGTAAAGTTTGGGTGCAAGTCTTCAAAGTGAGACATGAAATGTGATAATTATTATAAAATTTGGTGGTAGCGGTGGGATTTGGTGGCAGCAGTGGGATCGATAAGAAGTATTTTATCGAATGTTTACCACTAATATGTCTGAGAAAACTACTAGTGATGTTGTAATTTATGATATCGAATACGATATTTTCGAAGAGTTTTCCCGATTTTTATTGTTTGGTGCTTCAAATAAATTATACGACAATTATGAAGATCTACTATATGTCGCTAATAAATATATGATTTCAGATTTACAATCAATTTGTGAGAATTTATATTATCTGCTAATAAAGCCAATGAACGCGTTTAAAGTCTTGCAAGTGATTGAAAATTACGGGAATCATGAACTTGTAGCCAAAACTATCAATTATATAAAGAATAATTGGAATCAATGTCTTGAGACTGAATGGCCCAATATTATTAAAGATATATAATTCATATATATTGGACATGAGGGAAATTGATGCGAAAATTTCTCTTCCTTGACTTTGAAAGCTTATAACTTTTTAAAAAATTGTATGAACCAATTCATTTAAACTCAATTCAATACTTCAATATATTAGCTTCAATTATATGCCATACAATTAATATATTTATATCAAGAAGTAGTGTTGCCAGATGATACAAACCATATGGAACACACCAAAATATTTACTCAATTTNTACAATTAATATATTTATATCAAGAAGTAGTGTTGCCAGATGATACAAACCATATGGAACACACCAAAATATTTACTCAATTTGAATTTTAGCATCAAATGACTACTTAATAGCATATTCTAAACAATATTAGGCGTGTGCGATATATTGGCTATCAATCTATTCAGTGAATTGTTTAAAATTCTAAAATTTAAATGTTATGATCTTCAAGTTAGCGCCAGATTGAGTCCAGCCCGACATGTGAACAATCATGTGCCAGAAAACTAGGTTGAGTCCGATCACAGACTTTCAAATATGGAATTGTTGGTTAACTAAGGCTTAACAAAGCCAACCACTTATGACCAATTAAAAGGGAGCATGAAAGAATCCCGAGCAAATATTCGGGAATATGCCCAAAATATGGCTATTTTGGCCTATTTTTTTGGTCACATATTTTTAAAATCACCTTAAAAAAGTTATATAGTTTTGGGCGAATATTTTTTTAATATTGATTAGAATCATCAGTTATTGCTCTATAAGATTGGCTATTATATCACACTCTGCATTCGTGTCTTAGTGGTAAAAATGTCAAAACAAAAGTGGTGGTCAAAATATACTTTACTTACTTCTTTGACTCTCAGGGCAGCCATTTTTATTCGGAAGATATTGAATATCTCCTAAAATTAAGATCAATAGTTGACAAAAACGATGGCCGATATATAATCTGAATTACAATTTTGGTTATTAATTTTAAAAAAAATTTATTTTACTCTGAGATTTTCGCATCAATTTCCCTCATAGCCAATAATTCAAGGATGGTTTACTTAAGCCTATTCCTAACTTTATTTTCTATTATAATTTTTATTATATGACTTTACTTTTGTATAACACTTTAAGCTAAAAACATTAAAATAAAATATATTTAATTAAAACTCAATTTAAACTAAATTAATTAACTATAATATTATTAAATTTGTCACCTAACATATTTCTGGAAATTGTAAGTGTAGTAAGATAATACTAATTCTGTAGATTAACCATTATATATAATTTGTTAATTCATTATAATATTTGGTTTTTCATAATCATATTACATAATGTAGTCAATACAGCGATTAATTTTATTATTTAGACATTAATTTTAATAATAATAATGATTTATTTTTGCAAATCCCTGCAAATTCCGCGAATGCCTGCTAATGGGTGTTGTTATATCATATAACTTATATGAGCTTGATAATATCCAAATGCCGATATATCCAGGTCTTATTCACTTTGGTATTATGTTTATGTAATTTTGTAACTTGTTTATTTATTTAATTTAAAAAATATAATTAATCTTTAATTAGGTTTACTTTGACAATTTTGGTTAAAAAATTTTAATAAGTTTGTAATTTAATTTAAATTTTTATATCGATACTGTAAACTGAACTTGTAATTGATTTGTACCAATATGAAGTTTAAATAATGTAAAATAAATAAACAACTCAAATAAAATGCAAAATTTTATTCATAATTATAAAAATATATATTTAATTAGTTAACAGTAATTACTACCAGATATACGACTGAACAGAATGTGCGGCTATTTTATACCGCAATCTATGGCCCGATTCGCGTATATCGAGCTCTATATCGGTGTCGCCGGCATTGAGTGCCACCAAAACCAACTGTTTGTCCGGCCTTTCAATCGTAACCACCGATAGATTGGCCACCAATTTGTCGACCGTATGTCCGACGCGTATAGAGTCGGGCGAAACAAATTTACTAAAGTGGCCGATAGTGTAAAACGAGGGCTGTTTGTAGGCCTCGCCCTTGGCCGGGTCTATGTTAAGTGTGCCCCCGAAACCACCCCCAGTCCACCTTGGGCCCGCTGACATGTCCAGCGCCATATTCCACTCCAGCCAACCGCTAACGTAATTATTCAGCGCCTAAAACAAATAAATATTATAAGAGGTTTAAACATGGTGTAAATAAAAACAACTTTCAAATAAGCGTGTTTCTAATGACGTTATTTTTTTAGTAACTCCATAAGATTTATTGAGCTTAATACTGACCCTAATGATATCGTAGGCATATTTTTCACCATGGTCCCATCGGCCCAACGCGGCCCCATCCAAATGACACGCCTCGGTGTTCAATAGAAATACATTGGGATAAGTGTTATGAACTTCTGTGAGGAACGGGTCGGGAAACCCGCTCATCGGGTTATTCCCGTACCAGTGATAGGCAATACCGGACACGTATTTCGCGGCCTCTTTATCGGTCAAAATTGGTTTCACAAAATCGGCCAAAAAGTTTGCGTTGTCGTCAAATACCATGAGTTTTAGTTTATCCGGGGTATACCCGGCCTTCGCAAGGGTTGGGCCTAAGTTTAATTTCACAAAATCCCGTTCCGTCGGTCCCGTGAAGTTGAGACAATTGAACGCATAGTGCGGTTGTTGTCCCTCCACGGGCTCGTTCTCCACCGTCAGTCCCCATACGGGTATGTCATGGGATTTGTATGCGTCCAGAAATCTAGATAAAAATGATCAGAAAATGTTTGTTAATTAATGTCGTGGTGTTGTAATTAATTATGATTTAACTAATTATTGTAAATATTTTTAAATACTGAAAAAACTGTAACTAATTAAAATAACTACAGTACGGCCCCGAATTTGGCACACTCGATTTTAGCATTTTTCGATTTTGGCATAAGGTTTTCTTAGCACCGGCGAGCCCTATGAATACTGTAATGTTAAGTGTACCCGATTTTGGCATTTTCAATTTTGGCAGATTTCGAATTTAGCACTGCTTTTTCACTGTCAGTACAGCATAATCTATGCTTCGATTTTAGCACATTTGTATAATTGTAAGTGAAAATGTCGGCATATAAGCGGAGAAGGGATTTGATTTTTAAAACAAAATACAAAATTGTTAAATTCATTGACAAAAAAGTGAATTATAATGAAATTGTGCCACAATTTAGTGATTATGGCATCACTTCAAACGAAATTTTGAAAATTATGTCCCAAAGAGTAAATTAAACCTCAAAATGTGATTTTATGCACATTTTCTAATTTTCGATTTTGGCAGAACTCGATTTTGGCACATATTTTTTACAGCACCAATGAAATGCCAAAT